GGACCTTCCCCCCGGGGGAGGGAAATTGTCAGGTTTGACTGACTTTTTGGGTTTGTTTACCTTTAAATACCGACGATAAACTTCCAGGGCTGGTTCGCCTGCGTTGGCTAACTGAACCGAGCTGCAGGGGAGCCGTAACCGGTACTCACAGGGCTCTCACCTCACTGGCTTTGGCCACCCAAAGTCCCGGCGTGAGAGAACGCAGCTCTCTGCTGGATGAGATTTAGCCTAAAACCGTCTTTTTTGAAGTAATAACTTTCTATCTGATAGTCTGGTGGGCAACTGAGGAGCGTTTTATAGTGAACCAGCCGGTGTGAGCGAGCCCTGGCGGACTGGGGGAAGAGGTGGGGGGACACTGCTGAGGTGACCCGATGAAGGCTGCTCTGCCGCCTCTCCTCTGCCAGGGACCCTCGTGAGCCTCTCAGGGAAGGATGCTAACAGCACCGTGCCCACTGCTGTCGGGTGGGCTCCCAGGAAGGCTGGTAATGTTTATGACAGCCATTTGCCTTACGTGCCGCACCAGCAATAAAAAGCCTGTGCAACGCTGACGGTATTTTTCTTAGTGGGCCATTTGGAGGCCTCTCCTTTCACTCCCTATGATCTTTTTAAGATGTATTGCGCACAGCGTATTCAGAGTTGCAGGGGCAAAGGCACAAAAGCTAAACAGTTTAATTCTTGTTCTTATTCCCAGTCACACAAGAACTGCGTCCTCCGCTTGGAAGTACTCTTGCATGGATTGCTGTTGTGGCTGAAGGAATGGGATAGTGCTCCTCAGAGGCAGCATGGGGGTGTTTTTTAGATAATGGAGAAAAGTGCTTTTTTCTCCCCCTGACCTCCCAGTCAGTCCCTCAGCTCAGTTCTGCGGAGCTATTTGTTTCTACTCCTGTTACCGGTTTCTCAATAGACCGGCCTCCCACGGAGACAAGATCTGCAACCTCTCAAGCCTCGCACAGATGGAAAGCGCAGCTTTGAACTGAGTTGTGCGTTTTGGAGGGGGGAGGGTGTGCTGTTGTTGGTTTTTTGGGTTTGGGTTTTTTTTTTGGTTGGTGTTGTTTTTTTGGTTTGTTTTTTTTTTTACAACAGATAAGCCCTGTAAGATAAAGAAAACAGCATTAACAAACAATTACAGGAGTCGACCCTCATGAAATCTGTTGTGACTGCAATCTCAAATCCCGCACCACTCGGTTACTCTCTGTGCAACTAGTGTTGTCCCTTACAGCACTGATCTCTTACACTAAGCTGCTTCCCTGGGTTTGTATTCTGACCAAAGGTACAAGCACGTCACCAAGGTTTCTTGTCATGTGCAACACATGAAAAGAGATCAGAGGCCTGAAGTCAAAGATTTTTAGATGTCCCTCTCCATAGTCCCTTCTGAAATTATTTGTTAGACTACCTCATGGCCACAAATACAGGGAAGGAAACTTTAAAAATTTAGTTCAGACTAAGGGACTCTACTTAAGTGATAAAACAGCTGTATTGACACCTTTTAAAAATCCTTCACAAGCCACAACCTAATGGAAAGGATCCAACAATTTGCTGTAATTTAGAAAAATCTCTAGGGTTTTTCTGAACTTTATCAAGGGTAAAAAGGGCTGAGGCAAGACTTTGAGGGACCAAACTTTGTTCATATTCACCCAAGCCTCACCTCTGCTACTAGAAATGTAGCATGCAGTTTCCTGAGATTTTTCTCTCAGCTTTACAGTGGATTTTTGTGATGAATGCTCCTATGACTGATTTACAGAAGTGCAAAGCCCAAGTAGAATTACATGTAATTATTACAGAAAAAGAAATTATAACTGTACAATTATGCCCTGTTTGGAAAAGCTCTTTCTACTTACCAGATGTAGGAACAGCTATAATCACTTATAGGTAGTGGATTATTGCTGAGACTGAATTTGTAGTTTGGGGTTAAAAGTCACCTTTGAGTTTTGCTTTGCAGGATGCTATGGTGGATCCCGAATCCCTGACCATCTGTCTGACTTTTATGTCCAAGTACCACAGCAGTGGCTGGCCTAGCCCTTCGCTTTATGATGCATAAAACCAGATGCCTCACTTTCTTTTCTTTTCTTTTTTTTTTTTTTTAAACAAACAGAGTTCCATCTCCCATCGAGGTCTGCCTCTGCCCACAGAGCTGCTTCCCGTCCCCCACATTGGTTTCCAACATCGAGATCTGCGCTGCAGTTACTTCATGGCCAGCTACTCACTGGGTTTTGCAAAAACCAGCCTCACCCCTGGCAGGAGCCAGGAACAGAAGTAATAAAGAAGCACTAACATCTGTTCTTACTCGAGGAAAAGCTGCTTTTTTTTTAAGGATCTCAGGATTCACAACTTTGCCCTGAAGTCAGCAGAGGAAATGATGACATAGCAACTAGATGTCAGACAAGTAATGCTCAGCTATTAAGATTTTTTTGTACCCCGCTCTTCTCCCTAATATTTCATTGGCAAGGAATCACACAGAAAGAAAATCTGTAAAACACTTCACTTTAAATAAATATTTGGACTGTGGGAGGTTAAACAAGAGTCAAGTGCTTGGTATATAAAACATGTAACAATGAACATAAGAAATTAAATCTTTATTCTAACAATATTTACAAAATAAATAATAATGCACTTATATACTCAACAGGTGTCTTGAAAATAAAACAAGAATTTAAGTTCTTAGCACAGTATGGTCCACCTTTTCAAATTTCATATTAAAGTTTTATGTTCATCTAATTTTAGATATTTATAGAATCATCAGAAAAAAAAGCATAGGTTTTTCCTCTTCAAGTGAATGTTGTCTTCTAAAAATTTGGATTACTGACATATTAATTTATGTTCTCTGACATACCAAGTGATTTTTTCCCCCGAGAAACTCTAGTTGTTATGACCTTATGTCATATTTTTATCACCAGCTTTTCAAGATCAGCCATAACAAATTACCTTTTATATTGGTAACAATGCAACCCATTATTTAAGATGAAAGATTTGTAAAACACAAATTATACATAAAAGTAGTATAAGAATAGAACTCAAAGAAAATGCTCGTGTGTAAACACATACCATGAGCTTTGTAAAGGTCTGAAATGGAGTTTTCTAATCAAGGTGGGCTACATAGTAATGACACTTAACAGCAGATTTAAGGCTGTACACTGTGAACTAACACTCTGCACCTCTTAAAACGGGGACTGTCGACTGCTTTCCCTAGTTAGTCAGCACTGCTGTGTAGGTATTTAGCAGTTGGAAAAGTGGACAACTCATTTAGGACATTGTTGTGGAAAAGTTGAGTTTCAGAACATTTTAATCTGTGGCCCGCATACTACCACTAAATTTCAATCCCATCTGGGTTATAATATGGCATTAAGTAACTATGGGTTTTCTGTTAAAGACAGGGACCATCAAAATTATGGCGCTATTTTTCATCGTAAACTTCTGCTTTACATGAAGCACGTAACAGCGGTAACTGGCATTCCTCCAAGCAGGTCTCCCTTTTTACCTTTAAATAGAGCTTCTTAACCAGCTCACAAATTGTTTCAACGTCTGTACAAATTTATTGTTGCTTATACGATCTCTTATTCTTTCAGAGTAGCTTTCTTCTCTCCATATTCCCTTGTTTTTCTTCAAGGCCTTTAACTCCGCTCGAAGCAGTCTTTTGTGAAGTTTCCAGTACAGGCGGGAATCATGGTGTAGCCCTTCAATGCGCGCTGTTCTGCCAAGCCCTTGTCTCAAGATCTCTTCATTTAAGCACACGCTGAGAAATCGACCCTATAAAAAGGCACAATAAATGTGATATTCACTTCACCTTTAAAACAGTTTTGAGGGTTTGTGTGTGTGAACTCCTTCTGAGATACAAGCTTTACTTCTGGCTAAATCTACCCTCTGGCAGAAAGAGCTAAAAGTTAAGAGGAATCCAGCTGACTGTTAAAACATAATACTAACGCAAGACATTAGTGAGAGAGCATTTGATGGACTAACATCAGGGTCACGAGAACTCCATGGTATAGCCTAGCACTGACAGAGAAATGCATTCCTGTCATGAATCAGTCTGCAAAAATACTGGGCTGGAAATCTGATTTGCAAATACAACATTACAAATTCATAATAAGATAGATAAATTACAAATAATAACATTCCCTAAATGTACTGAGATAACTGAATTGCGTAAGTACAGTCAAACTCAAAACTGCAGATAAAAGTCAACTTTTGTCATTGTTATTTACCTTATTTACTAAAACAAGGCACTCGAGTGCCAAGTCCTCCCTTCCGAGAAGTTGGAACCATAGCATTTGTTTGGGTTTTAACTCTTGCTGTAACCAGGCCATGCCGCTCGGAGCCAACTCCACCCCGGCAAGCCTCACCAGCAGCACACCTTTTGATTGCCCTGATTAGAGAGAGAGAGAACTGTTACCAAAACAAAGGAAACGTCATGCTTTGCACAGACCCTCAGATGTTGGTAATGAATTTGTTCCCATCGACTTAAAAAAAGAAAAATAATCCATGATTTATTCACAAATAAAAATTTGGTCTCATCTCCCCTTCAGTAAAAAAATTAACTCAGGATTGCGTTAAGTGGTTTAAGCTAGTTTGTTTTATTTTGCATACAAATGGAAAGAACTGCTTTCATTATCAGTCATTATTATTTTATCTGAAGGGGCAGAAACAGCAGGCACGAGGCATCAGCACCTGCAGCTATTCCCAGAGCAAGTGTGGGACTCACAGACTTGACAGACAACTTCTGCGAAGCCACTGTCCCCAAGAAGAGTCTTTTTGCCAGGAATGAGATAAGCTACACAACCAACTGACCTGCCTGTGCGCTAGCTTTTGCTGCCAGAAAAATATCACGATAATGCTGCCAATTAACATAAATACTGTATCGGTAAGCTCTTTTTACACGTCTCCTCGCAGTCTCCTTTTTTATTCCTCAGTTTCCCACCTGTGAAGTATGGAAAAAGGCAAAGCCAGCGCTGTAACTCAGCCCTTCCTCCGCTCTGTCTGCAGCCGCACAAAGACCACCACTCCACCCCTACCCTTGTCCTTCACGTTCTTTTACTCACATTTTCTCTGTAGCGATGTAATGAAAGGAACGCTAATGGGAATGTGTTCAACTTCCAGGCCTTTCTCTGTTATCTGATGTAATCTTCCCCGCAATTTCACGTTCTTTTCTACAAACCCCACAGGTATATCCGAAGCACTTGTAAACTTTGTTGTCTGTTGATGGAAAGAAGAGCAAGACAGAGTTTTAAAAAGTAGAGCAGTAACAATCACATTAAATCCAACTTCCTAAAACAGTTTGGCAAATTACAGATCTATTAGGCAGCACGGGCAATTGTACATATATATATATATATTTAATAGTAATCAGCTGCCAAAGCCATTATGTGCCAGCCTTTCCAGACACTTGGGGATGTTCCCTGTCTTACAGGACTTGCAGTATTAGGGCTGGGCATGAAAGCAAGGTTTAGAGAAAGAACACAAATGGACATTTTTTGAGTGGTGCACATTGAAGTTCACGTGACGCACCATGAAAAGAATGTTTCAGAAGTGACCTGAAGGGCGCTGGAACAGGGGTGAAAGGAAGCCAAGCCGTGCGAAGAACAGACACACTGCAAACAACGGCGGAGCAGGGAGGACAGGAACAACACAGGCTTGGATAAGGGAGTGAAAGAGGAGAGGGACAAAAGCAGGCATACACCTTTGAAAAGATCACAAGAAGATTAAATTTGACACCATAGCCATCGACTAATGGGAGGATTCAGAGGGACAGTTAGGTGATCGTGCAGGAAAACTAAGCGGAGCAGCAGGAAAGACTTGGCCAGCAGCGCAGGAGGGAAGCCACCACTGGTTTAGGGGTGGGGGGAGAGGGGCAGGTGCTGGGGCTGGAGGAGCACCCCGGACTTCAGGCACTAACATCTGGAGATCTCCGGGTAAGGAGCCTTTTGTAGAGCACTGCCCTACTTCCCTACAGCTGTGAAAAGTACCGACCTGCTCATGTGCAACCGCTGGGACACAGCAGCCCTTGGGGCAACTAAAAAAACCAAAACACCACCACTAACCTCAGAGATCTTTCTACTGTGTGTTATTTATTCAGTAAACCTTCCCATTTGTGCTCCGTAAGGTCTCCCGCTAGGAATACAGAAACTCAGGACCTTGTGGGCAGAAAGCCTGAAGGTTTTTACAAACGGAAGTTGTTCAAGTCTAATCACATTTGCACTGGAAGCTTCGACCGCCTCGTTAACCCCTTCACGAGCCCTGGCTGTGATAAAAAAAAGGCAACAAACAAATAAAACAGAAAAAGGAAAAAAAAAATCTGGCAACATTTGTAGTTCAGGTTTTCCAGTAAGATTTTAAAGTAAAAACTTTATACAAATGTTCTTTCACAGCAAACTGCACTTGGAGTTGTGCAGAGGGAGGATCAGAGTGACTGTTATTTCCTAATGGGCTGGAACGCCACGGCACAGCCGTCGCTCCCTACCTGTCTGGGCATGGCCGGAGCTGGCGGGGTAGTGTTAGCGATGCTGCAAACCGATCGACTGAAGAAGTGAAGTAAGATTTACGGTCATGTTTAAAAATATTCAAATAGCAGTTCTGGTCATGGAAGGACAGAGAGCAGATGTGAGGAAACTGCCTCTATTTCAGCTTTATTTAGACTAGAGGTACGAGACAGTTTGGCCAAGAAGGCCAATGGTCTCCTTGGGCGCACTAAAAAGAGCGTGCTAATGGTCAAGGGAGGTCCTCCTCCCCCTCTGCTCTGCCCTGGTGAGGCCACATCTGGAGTATTGTGTCCGGTTCTGGGCTCCCTGGGTCAAGAAGGACAGGAAACTTCTGGAGAGGGTCCCACAGAGGCTATAAAGATGCCTGGGGACTGGAGCATGTCCCTGCTGGGGACAGGCTGAGAGCCCTGGGGCTGTTCAGCCTGGGGAAGAGGAGACTGAGAGGGGATCTCATCAACGCTTATCAATATCTAAAGGGCGGGTGGCAAGAGGATGGCGCCAGACTCTTCTCAGTGGTGCCTGGTGACAGGACCAGGGGCAATGGGCACAACACGGGAAATTCCGCCTCAACATGAAGAAAAACTTCTTTCCTGTGAGGGTGGCAGAGCACTGGCACAGGCTGCCCAGAGAGGTGTGGAGTCTCCTTCTCCGGAGACACCCAAACCCGCCTGGATGCGTTCCTGTCCAACCCGCTCGGGGTGCCCCTGCCGTGGCGGTGGGGTGGGCCAGAGGACCTCCGCAGGTCCCTTCCAGCCTCCACCTCCCG